TCTTCAAATTAATATAATTTACCATTTAAGAAATAATAACCAAATACATTAAGTAGTTTTACTAATTTCTAGATAAAAAAATTAAAATAAATTAACTATTCATTATAATTTTAACATGGGATTTATTTGTATGTTATGTCAATCATGATTATTTTTTATATTTTTTATTTTTATCTATTTCCATAATAAAATCCCTATATAATATATTCCCATTGCATAGTATGCTAAATAAACTATAAAAATGTATGATGCAAATTAGAAATATTTCTTGACAGTATTTAGCAATTGCTAAATCAAAGATGTTTTATTATTATAAGAATTAAATTATAAAAAATTATGTGTATATTTTGTAATATATTTATACATAATATTTTATTTCAAATTTTTTACATATTTTAAATTAACAATATTAATAAATAATATTAACAAACATTAAATATTTATTACATAAAATAGAGAGAAGCAGAAGACTGCTTCTATAGTATTTATTTTAAAAAATAAAATTATAATGACATTATACGAAAGTAATTATAATAAAAATAATAAATTAAGTATTTTGTGGTGAACAACAATATATATATGTAGTACTGTTATTTTTTTATATCAAAGAATAAATATATATACTAAAACTAAATTTATGTCAGTATAAAAGTTTTAGCGGGATAATATATTAATTAAATTACAGACGATGGCCAATAGGCCCTAGTTGAACGTTATGACTAAAAAACGACGCTGATCAAAAGAGGTAGAAAATCTAAATAGATGATCCAACTCTATTGATTTTCAGGCCTATACAAATATACCATATGAAAGTAATTCATTTAACATCTCTGACTCGTACATACGCGCGAGCTACGTACTAGATATAATAATTGCATAAACATTAAAAGAAACCGCACTATTTTGTACAAAACAAGCCTAGTATTTTTCATGATATTTTCCCCATCTAGTTGCTTCAAACATAATCTTCTCATTAAAAATCTCATGATGGAATCTTTTTGAATTTAGATCCTTTCTTTGATCTAATTATTCTGTTCTGAAACATGATGAAAGTCAGAACTAGCACAAATCAATTTATTTATTTAATCACACATGATTAGCTTATTGAAAGCAATTAATTGCATGCTTTTCTAATACGTGTGCTAAAACATTGATCAATTATCAATGAAGATTCGGGGAGGGATAGTTAACTTTCCATTGACTGTGTTAAGCTGCAAAATCAATTGTCCATTCATATTATTAAAGACTTAAAAATTTTTAGACATTTAAAATTTGTTAGGTAGTTATTTGAGCTTTCAAAAATGTTAAAGTCACGAGGTATTCAAATTTATTTAAGGTTAATTGCTAAATAAACATTAACTTTTGTACATTTAACAATTTTATCTTAATCTTTGGGTAATTGCAATATAATCTCGACTCAGAATTCGTCGAGCGAAGGAGTTAAGTGGGCCACTCAATATCACATTAGGAAGTGCAGTAGTTAGCGGTCTCGGAAGTTCTAGTTAAGCTTACTCCGCCTTACGGAAACTTCATGGAAGAGGCTAACTCTAAGGCTTTTTCCTTTGGGAAAACTAAGTAATTTTTGTTGGGCCCTTGTCGTTTTTGTAGGTTCATTAGGCTTGCTCTCAGCCCTTTTCCGTCAGATCCGGGATGGAGTGTAGCTCCCGTTTGATTCAGGTTGACCTTCCCCCCTTTATATTCCATTCCTACTTTGTTTATAGTTTCAAATTCATATTAAGGGGTCCAAGAGCAGGGCAGATGAAGTCGACAAATTGGGTCATTGGTATTTGACTCGGACCTGTTCTAAAAAAGTCGAGGTGTCAATTAACTTATTGCAAGTCCAACCTAAAACTGGTCGGACCTTCAAAAAATTGGTCGATTTGAAGGCGGTTCGAACAGATCGGAACTCATATTTATCAGTTCACTCCAGATCTAGGTGGAGACTCATCACCCGTAACTTACATCGACGTGGAATTTTCGGCTTTGTGCGTGGATATACATTAAATACGTGAAGATTGTCAACTTGTTACGTGGATGGTTTAAAAACCCGTTTCAATGGAAGACTTGGACACAAGATTGATCCACAAATCTCTAAAATGAATCACTCTGCACCTAAATTTGCAATAAGTAATTTGAGGTCGAAATTATATTGTAATTACCCAAAGTTTGGGATAAAATTGCCAAACGCAAAAAGATCAAGATTTATTTAACAATTAACCCATTTATTTAATCTGAATTTTTTTAGATTTTGTTAAGATTTTAATGACAAAAATTTTTTTGCTATAGAACCAACCTTTGGCTCCACAGTGGAGTCAAATATTTGTTTCAACTAGTATTTGATCTTGTGCATTTATACAGATATAAAACACGTTTTTGTTTGTATTTATTAATTAGACATGTACTTCTATCATATAAAAATTATTACTTTTTCTTTAGTTATTTTTATCAATCAAAATTAATTGAGATTTAAATTTTATTTTAACCATGCAACATTTACATTAGTAACATGAATAAAATAATTGATATATTTAGCGGTTACAGCTCTGAATGTGTCAATCAACTTTAAGTTTCAACATTAGCAGTTATACATATGAATATTTTGCTATCAAAGTTAGAATTAATTTAATTATCCAAAAAATAAATAACAAAATATATATATTAAGGTGTAACAGTTTTAGCAGATTAATGAGTAATCAATTAAAGAAAATGTAACTCCATTTGAAGGGAAATGAAAATAGGTTTTATGAAATGCATCCGCTAGTAATTATATATATATAGATAGGAAATTGTTTGGACTATAAAAAGTTTTAAAATATTAGTGGAGTCAAATGTTGGTTCCAACAGAAATAATGTTTGAATTTTTCAAAGATTAAAATATTAGTTAAAATCTCGAACGAGTACATCTTCTAAATATGATACAAATACTTTTATTTAAAAAAAAAAAAATATTTCTTGTCAAAATGAATTTCGTGTCTTTAAACAAATAAATCATACATTAACATAGGATGTTATGTCTTGTACATGCATGATATCACAAATTTGTCTTCAGACATAATATTAATAATAATAATAATAATAATAACAATAATAATAATAATAATACCTTTACAGGCTGTGATGGGGTGTTAACTATTTATTGATTGAAGTTTAATGATTCTTGTTCCCAATATGAGGGGTTTAAATTGAAAGGAAGATGCTGTATAGAGATTATTCCAAAAAGTACAATATTTTCTTATTAGCCCAAAAAATATGCATTATTATAAGATACTTTTCATTGTTTCTCTTTTATTATTATTATTATTATTATTATTATTATTATTATTATTATTATTATTATTATTATTATTATTATTACGATTATCATTTTTTATATTAAAAAAATATATCGAGATGATGTATTATTTCAATAATATAATACTGTTATAATCTATGTTTTAAAATGGGCCTAAAATTGACAGCAATTGTGAATGTTTAAAGTGGAGGAAATAAATGGGCCAATAGCACTAAAGGAAACTCATTTTGCATACCCATTTGCAAACTTTTACAAACCCAAACTATCTGAAGTTTCAAAAACTAAAATCCCAATCCAAATGGATATCTACTTGTAATCCACAAATCTGTATCCATCACACACTCACTTGGGGTGAATTTCACCCAACCTACCAGCCGTCGGATCAAAACACATTCGATGCGATGTTTTGTGTACTTGTGACTTGATGGATCAGAACTCGTCATTTAATTCATCGTTGTATGTGTAAGAAACGGGGGAAAAACAGATGCGGTCGCACGCACGTGAAGCGCACCATAACAAGGTGAGCTCAGATGAAGCCTAACTAAGGTTCTATCCCATAACCAATTGGTTGTAGGAGGATGAACCCATTAGGCTTATAAGTTATGCCTATTTTCTTTGTATAATGGATGTGAGACAACTATTAAGTGGTATTATATTCAAATATACCCCCTCACTTGTGAATCCTTCATAAGAAGTTCAAACCCAACTGAGCCGGGTGCCAAGCCCAACTGGACTGGGTGACGGGTACGTCCTTGCACGGTCCCACGTAGAACCGATTCGGATATCATGCAAAAACGAGAGCAAAACAGGTGCAGTCCCATGCACGTGAAGCGCACCATGACAGAGTGAGCCCAAATGTACCATAGTGTACATTTCATTCAATTGACCAGAACTCGACATTTCAATGGACGATTTTGTGTACATTTGATCAAAACTCGACATTCGATACATGGCTGTGTGTACATGTGATTCGATGGATCAAAACTAGATTTTGTGCGTACAAATGATTCATTGGATCGAAACTCAACATTCAATGTACGATTGTTTTTACATGTGATTCTCAGAACTCGGCGTGGGCACTAGGATCGGCCTAACCCTCACTCGCATTGTACGAAAGTAAAAATATTATAGATTGCGAAGGATGATGATATCAACTTCACTACAACACAGAATTGATTCATACTTGCCCTCAAGTGCACAACACAAAATGGAAAGCAAATTAGGCTAATTAGCAATTGTGTCAACGAGGAAAGTTGAAAACCTGACCAAAACCAGAAGAAGGATCGACACTTCAATCACACACACAGCCTAAATATCATAAAAGTA